GAAGAAACAAAGCAATCTCCATGTCCAAGCGAAAAGCAAAGAAAGATGGCACCTCTGGGTAAAGTTAACCACTGAGAGCATCCCTCCAGGAAACAATAACATCTAGAGTGTACGCCAGGGAGTTTGAGCTCTAGACAGTGGTCACTTTGGCCCATTCTGGCCCCATCTGAAGAGACTCAAACTAAAGCACAGAGAGGGTGACTTGCCCAAAGTCATACGGAAAATCAGCAGCGAGGCATTGATTAGAATCCATTGTCTTCCAAAGTGTCATAGCCTCTAGTAAATAAAGGAGACAGTGTATAATAAAAAGACCACTGGATATGAAGTCAGGAAACCCAGGTCATGAGGTTGGCTTTGTTACTTAATCAGCCATGTGTCCTTGGGCAGACACCTATCCTTTCAGGAACTGTGCCTTCTTACCTGTAACATGAGCAGGTTCCAGTTGAAAACAATTAAGGGCTTCTCCAGATCAAACAGCCCATGGTTCTAAGAAGTCCACATCCTTCCCTTCCCTTTGCCCTCAGGTGGAGTGCTAGAAGGCATTCTTTAAAAAATATATATTTCATCCTAACTTCTAATTGATATGGGACAGATAGAGATTCTTGCCACCCTACCCTCTCTCCACCCGTGGTTCCCCTGGGCACACCTGTTCTGTGATCTCCAAGCTATGCAGGCATAAAGGAAAGTCCCATGAGTCACCCAAGCAAGTGCTGAAATGCTTCCCTTGTTGTTGCCACTGTTTAGCTAGATCCAAGTTAATCTTTTTGTTTTTTCTGCACAACTGGATTAACTAGGCACACATCTGTCTGTAGATAGAATGATATTGAATACACTTTGCAGAGTAAATAGAAGCTTAATTTTTCTTAAACAGACAATAAGTGCCCGTGGATGTGTGAAGCCAACAAGAGTGATTTTCTCAGGCAGCCTGCCCCTTCCTGGAGCTGGGGCTGCCCAAGTCCCAACCAGGAGAGGAGGAAGAGCTTGGGCATAGAGAGAGAGGTCTTGCCACATTCAGCCAGACCAAATTGCAATCCTGTGAAAGGAGAGACAGAGGGAATTAGGTTGTGCTATTAATTCAATTTTCAACTTCAGCTAATTTTATTGGCCTGACAAGGTAGGCACATTGCCAAAATCAATACAGTAGATCTGTATGCCTAAGGCTGGTTTTGGTGCTAATGGAGGCTTTTATGCCAGACAGTCTGTCCTCTGAATGTTTCCCAACGTCCTTCTTGGTCTCCAGCTGCCACATGTCATAGTTATGATTTTGCTATTGAAGGGCATAGGATTAAATTTTAGGTCCCCAACTGAACTGTTGGTTGATAAGGTCTTCTCTCCTGAAAGTCCTTTTCACTGTTTGGAAAAACTTTGTGAACTACTGTATTTTCATTTTATTTAGCATGTAACGTACAATGATGAAAATAAATGAATGTTTTCAAATAGGATAGTGTTAAAATAGTTCACTTCCTAGGCAGGTGTTAAAAGTAAAAAAAGAAAAGCCACTAAAAAAACTGTCTAAAATTTTCTTAACAAAAAATCTTGCTGCAATATTTACACTTCAAGTGAACATCTAGTTAAGCTATTAGTACCTTGGATCTTTCCATTAATACAAAGCATTTCCAGCCTTTGGAGAAACAGGGGAATTACTGTTTTCTAGTTGGACAAAGTTTTTTTTCTTAATCTTAGGGGCACAGAGATGCACCACATTACTATCACCAAGAGCCCAGTCTGAGCTGCTAGACCGAGAAGCACATGTAGACAGTGGATAAAATTAGATCATAGTTGGGTGCCTGTAACTCCAGCTACTTGGGAGTCTAAGGTGGAAGGATCACTTGAACCCGGGAGTTGGAGACCAGCCTGGGCAACATAGTGAGACACTGTCTCAAAAGTAATAATAATAATGAGATCATGAGCAGGTCATGACTGTGATTAGTAAGTGTGTGATAATGGCTAAGCTTAATGTTTAAACAAATATTGTTTTAAAGGGGGTGAAAGTGGAAATATAGCACGTATTTCAGATACACCACAGGTATGGCATAAGTACAGGCATAAGCCTATCACTTTGGGTTTTTTTTGTTTGTTTGTTTGGTTGGTTAGTTGGTTGCTTGGTTGGTTTGGGGGGTTTGGTTTGCTTGTTTGTTTTTTTTTTTTGACACAGGGTGACTCTCTGCAGCCCAGCTGGAGTACAGTGGTGCAATCATAGTTCACTGTAGACTCAAACTCCTGGGCCCAAGTGATCCTTCTACTTCAGCTTCCTGAGTAGCTGGGACCACAAATACATGCCAACATGCTCAGCAAGGTTTTTTTATTTTTTGACAAGGTTTGCTATGTTGCCCCAGAGGGTCTCAAACTCCTGGGCTCAAGCAATCCTCCCACCTCAGCCTCCCAGCCTACCATTTTGGAGCACATGACCTGTGGATAAAGTATCACCCACACCTAATGGCAGCATGCACTAATAATAGAGTTATTTTTCTGTGAGATTCCTGTATTAAATGACTGACTGAATGCATTTGTACCTACAAAATCTAGCATATTTAAGCTATCTGGAACATACTAGATTAACAGCTAGTAATTCTCATTTTACAAAAACTGAGATCCAGATATTTTTGTTTTCATGTTTTGCTTAAGCTTGAAATGTAACGACAAAGGCTATACTAGAATTCAGATCTCTTGACTCTCAGAACAGTTCATGTTGCATCATGCCAGGATCCCACTGCACACTTAGATTCTGCACTTTGCCCTCAACACATTTATATAAAACTTAAAACGCAAGTCTATAAAGAGGCCAATGTCCACCAACAATAAATCAGCCTGTAAATCTTACTTATTTTTCAATTTCTCCCCAGCAATTTACTTCTTCATCCTAATAGCCTTTCTAAGGAACAGTGGTGGTTTTTTTCTTTACTTTTTTTTTCTTTTCTTTTTTTTTTTTTTTGTTGTTGTTGTTTGGTTAAAGATATGCTGCGATTTAATTTAAAGGCCAAGGAGGAACCAACACCTTCTTTATCCTGTAGGTTTAATAAGCATTCCCAAAGGAAAGTCATTGTTATTACTAACAAACACAACATCAGCTTTTTGACACAGAAGATACATCTATCCAATATCAGATAAGATTCTGTTAAAATAGTTCACTTCCTAGGCAAGTTTTAGAATTAAAATGTCACTCTAAAAACCGTCTAACATTTCTTTATCAAAAAGTCTTGAAAAAATGTTTTAGATAGACATAGATGTAGATATTTTCCTTCTTGCTTTATAAAGATTGGAGTCATTCTTCAAAAGTTATACTTTTCAAAGTGACTCTGGATAGCTGGTGAAAATGTAACAGGAGGACAGACTTGTTGGAGAGTAAATGACACAAACAATCAAGTTCTGGGCTTTTTACTGTTTTTTCTTTTTTTTTTTTAACTGCCTTTTTTTAAAACTTGACATAGTTATTTTGAGATCCATCCATGTTGTTGCATATATCATGGATATTTTTTTTTAAACTCACTTTTTTTTTCTTTCTTTCTTTTCTTTCTTCTTTCTTTCTCTTTCTCTCTCTCTCTCTCTCTCTTTCTTTCTCTTTCTTTCTCTTTCTTTCTCTCTTTCTTTCTTTCTTTCTCTTTCTTTCTTTCTCTCTCTCTCTCTCCTTCCTTCCTTCCTTCCTTCCTTCCTTCCTTCCTTCCTTCCTTCCTTCTTTCTTTCTTCTTTTCTGCAGCCAGGTTGACAGCAACCAGCCAACTTCTACACTCAGGGGTGCTGGGGAATTCCGGATGCTTCTCAGCATCTCACTGACAACGGCTCTGAGCAGCTCTGAGACACGGCTCCTCTAAAGGACTCTTTCCCTTCCAGTCAAAGGTTTTACAAAAGTAACAAGTTCCCCGAGTCAACATTTTAAATATGTCTGTACACTTTAGGTGTTTTTATGTTTGGAGTCTTTACTAGTTTTAACAGTGTCCAAATTAAGGAACTGGGATGAAATCGAGGAAGATTAATCAGCTGGGATCTCCATTTCCCAAAACATCGGGAGCTGTTAGCCAGAAGAACAGCACATCATACTTTGATCGGAAATTAAAATATTCTCCTAAGAAAATCCAAATGTAAAACATGTTCCAAATTTGATTCCAGTTGAAGAAATATTTTTGGCAAGTAAACAGCAGGGGGCTGAGAGCCTGGTCTGTGCCAGCCTTGCTGACTCCACCAACTGGGGTGGAAATATCTGACCTATGGATAAGCAAAAGCCCATGCAAGGAAGGGAAATGTTTGCTGGCTGGGCCCTCCAGCCTGCTCCCTAGACTCCAAGGCGCAGAGTATTGCGACACTGAAAGGTGAATGTTGGAGACAGGCAGCTGGGAGAGAGGGAAAAGAGGTACTAGGCTCTAAGGCCATATACAAACTACTTCCTAGGCCCAGTGAATCTGAAGGGGGTGCAGTGGGGGAATAAGCCTGGGCCAGCCAGAGCTGTGCTAAGGGCCACTCTGAGCCAGCCTTTACAGGAGCCCTGTCTTAGAACTGCTCACAGCCTTTGTGAATAGATGCTGAGGAGCATCTGGAATTCCCCAGCACCTGTGATTGTAGGGTTTGGCTGGTTGATCTCAACCTGGCTACAGTAAAAAAGGAAAAAAAAAAAAAAGTGATTTTAAAAGAAAATACCCATGATATATGCAGCAACACAGATGGATCTCAAAATAATTATGTCAAGTAAAAAAAAAGAAAAGGCAGATTTTTAAAATGAGTACATACTCATGATTACATTAATGTAAAACTCTAGAAAATGCAAAATAACCTATAGTGACAGAGAGCAGGTCCCTGGTTGCTGGAGTGTGTGAGGCCAGAGGAAAGGATTACAAAGAGACACAAAACTCTGGAAAGTTTTGGGTGTGAGGGATATGTTTACTATCTTGATTGTGGTAATGATTTCATGGGTGGTTTACATATATCAAACTCACCAAATTGTGTACTTTAAATATGTGCAATTTCTTGTATGTCAATTGTAGTGTAATAAAAAAGATCCCTATACAAACCTCACTCCCAGAGATTCTGATTCAGTCCATCCAGGGTGGGACCTTGGCATCAAAATATTTAAAAATCTCCTGAAATGAGAGCCCAGGTGCCATGGGATGCACCTGTAGTCCCAGCTACTTGGGAGGCTGACATGGAAGGATCACTTGAGCCCAGGAGTTCATGACCAGCCTGGTCAACACAGTGAGACCCCATTGCTATGAAAAAACAACAACAACAACAACAACAACAAGAAAAACAAAACAAAAAACAAAAAAACTTCACCAAATAATTAAGAATGTGCAGCCAGGGTTAAGGTGTAGAATCTTGCATGCCACAGTAAAGACCTTGTTAATGATCTGCAATAAGATTGAAAGCCAGTTAACATTGCAAGAAATTCAAATCAAAACTGTCCTGCCAGCCCCAGTGCCTTTTGAGACTATGGGCCCCTTATAGGCAAGCAGTTACAAATGAAACTTTTATGAACTCCGCTCAAGAGTCTGCAGGGCCATTTCTACAATGAAGTATATCATACAGTTCTGAAATAACTGGAAACTTACGTTATTCCACATGTTTCAATTATCTTATTGTGTCTATTGGTGGCATTTGTGGTGGGTGGTTTCTTTTATGTTCCGGGGAAACCTATCACATTGGGACATGGGTCTGTAGGTTTAATGCCAGATAGGAAACTGGCTTTCAGTTGTCAACCCAATCAAGATTACTACTTTGCCTACTGTCTTTAGGTTTGAGAAGCTCACAGGTTGCGTGTGTACCAGCATCTACCACCCTCGCTTTCTCCTCAGACTTCTTTATGGTCTCCTCAGTCAATCTACTTTCCTCTACAGATCAGAACCCTCAGTTCCAGGAACAACTTGAATTACAAGATTCATTCTTTATGGAAGCAACAGTGGCTTCTAGTCCTAATACACATTCATTAGGAATGAGGCAGCAGACCAGTTTTCAGAACTGTTTTGTGCCAGAGTGGTTGTTTATTCATGTGGTGGCCTGGGCTTTGGAGTCCAATGGATCCAAATTAAAATCCTAGCTCGTCTACTAAATAGCTCTGCAACTTTGAGCAAATTACTGAACCTCTCTGAGCTCCAGTTTCTTTATAACATGGAAATACATCTCCCTTACAGAATTGCAATAAGAGTTAAATGAGACATCCCTTCACTTATTTGTTTTCAAATACGTATAGTGAGAAAAAGAAAGCAGCCCCTAACATCTGGGAGCTGCCCTGGTATCACTGCTAGGCCCTGGTGTTGCTACCAGCTGGCTCAGCACTCATAGAGAGGCTTTGGTGTTCTGTTAAACAGACACAACTTCACACAACAGAGGAAACTCTGTGACCATAATGGAGCAAGACAAAAACAAGAACACTCCTCTGATCTTATATAAACAGACAAAAATGTGAACATTATTGAAATCTCAAAAATGACTCAACATTCCCCTAGTCTGATAATATGAGTGACCGCTACTTCTTTGACAATCACAGCTTTAGCCTCATTCTAGTCTTCACTCCTTATAGTCTTCATTCCTCATACTCAATTATTCCTGCTTTCTGATAGCATCCAATCCAGAGCAGAGCCTGCTTCTTTAAACTCTACTCAAAATAACCTAACACAAGCCCAATCCTTTACTAAGTCCTTCTGGCCCCTTTTTACTGAGACACCCCATGGTTGTGCATGGTGTGCGTTCTGCCTCATTGCAAGGAGTAATAAGGCCAAGTTGTTCAATGATAGGTGTGCTCCTGGTTATCTTTAACTGGAAGGTCAAGTGACAATAATGTCTGTCCTTTGTCAAGAAAGATGCTGAATTCTGGGCTTACGACTCCAAACAAATCATCTTTGCCCTGCCCTCAGGAAGCTCACAGTCTAATGGAGGAGACCTTGGAGCACCAAGCAGAATGACCTCAAGAGTCATGATGAGTCAGACAAAACCCAACAGAGTATCAAGTGTAATAGCCCTAAGACGTGTATGATTCTAAGAATATAAGAGAATAGGAAACCCCATCAAGGTCAAATGTATTTATTATTAACAGGAAGATAATGTATACAAATCTTACGATTCCATCAAGTTTAAGTTAGAGTTACTTATAGATATATTGACAAATCTTAAGGGACAAGGAAATACAAAATCCAGTGAAGTGATCAATAAGAATGGGAACTACAGGCTTCCTCTGAGTAAACAAAGAATCAGATGGAGTGACAAAGGCCTTGGGAGACCAACTTCTTTAGTGTGAAAGTGTATGACTCTATAAGCCTTAAATAAGGCTAAGTCCCATCACAGTCGCCAAGAAGACCACCTTCTGGGCAAAACTAACTTCATTTACCTGTGATGGCAAATGTCTTCCCTTAGGTAGGTTATGTGTTTCCTAACACCAGGAAGATTGAGAATTAAGTATGGAAAGAGTTGAGGGACCCAAACCATAGTATTGATAATTTTGTATTAAGAAGAAAATTGTGTATAGTTGCTATTTTGTGTATTTGCAATTTTTAATAGAATCAGACCTACTAGAATGACAGCCTTGTAAGGCCAATTTAAAATATAATTAGTAATTGATGTGAAATTTTATGGTTTTGAGTTCTTAAGTTTACTGGAACATACAAGAGAACCTTAGGACCCAATATTTATACATTTAAGAGCTTAAATGTATGTGAGTATTAAAGTACTCCAAAAAGTTCAGTTTGTTAACACAGACAAATGCATATAGGGAAAGAAAGAGATGGAGATTATAACTAATAATCATAGCTTAAAATATTTGAAAGTAATTAACTTTATTAATTGGCCCTTTAGAAGTGATTGCTAAACTCTGCTAGACTAAAAAATAAAATAGTAACAAACTTGTACATGTACCCCTGAACTTAAAATAAAAGTTGGGAAAAAATATAAAATAAAATAATTACATATAAAAGTTGAACCCAAATAAACTATGTTTTTAATTCTAACTTTAATTATCAGAATATTAATTTTTAATTCAGAAGTAAACCTTTACATGCTGTTTCCAACAAACCTCCCAAAGCCACTTTCAGTGACATCTAGAAACTCCTACAGAAATAAGCAATTGCCATAGTGTGTGATAAGTGCTGTAATGAGGGAAAGATAAAATACTATATGGGAAGAAGTGCGAGAGGTAGAATTTCAGAGTGTCTAAGAGGGACCTTAAGGAGGAGGACTGGGAAGCCCAAGAAAAAGGTATGAGGATTAAGGGAGGGGACAGCCAAAAGGAGTTCATTCCTTTACAAATTCTAAGTATGTGCCAGGCACAAAACCAGGGGTTGGAGGGAGAGTGGTCAACCACACAGGGCTCCTTCCCACTTGGAGCTCAAGGTCAGGAGGTAAGAGGGAGCTTGGCATCTTGGAGGAAGAGAAAGAACTTCAGTCTGAGTGCTGCCCACTCTGGGAGGGTCAGAGAAAGAGCCCACTCACTCCCCCTGGGTGGGTGAGCCTGCAGGAGCTGCTGGATGTAGGTCAACTACCTAAGATGGTGCAGAAACCAGAAGGCCCTCCAACAACTGCTCCTCCTCCTGCAGGAGGTTCTTTGCTTAATTTATTTTTGCTTTGGGGGTCAGAAGCCTATTTGTTAAGCATTTAAACTTTGCTAGGACTCAGCTACTCAAACTATCAGCCCTTTAGTCCAGTATCCCGAAAGCCTAAAGAGGCAAAAGCAAGAAAGAAGCTTATCTTTGGCTTGAGCCTGAGGTCATGGGCTGCAGGAGCTGGTGGGATTTGTTTATCAAGACCACTGAAGACCTGTGGGAGGAAGGATCTTATCTCAGTGTTGCCATAGGGACTGCTGGCTGGATTGACTGAATGCTCTGCAGATAATGACTCTTTTTTAGAAGAGAAAATAGTTGCTATTTTCCAAAGGCTAAATGTGGAGTGAAGTGGCAGTGAGGGGGGAAACAGAAGGCCTGTGAGGGTAAGAAGTGGGGAGCCAGGTCAACCCTGGCTAAAGAAGAGTGGGGCCAGGCTGCTCCAGGACTCAGGAGCTTGAGAGTCATCCTAACCCACTCCCAGAGTTCAGGCCTCCACCAGAGGACGTGGCTCTATTCATACAAGAATTGTATACAGAAAATAGTAGATCTGAGATTTGCAAAACTCATTTTCAATTTCATAGGCTAAAGCCCTCAAATAACTCCAAGTCACATCACATGTCTAATGGTTGTCTCAGAAAGGCGTCTCCTCCAAAGGTCCTTCAGAAACTATGAAACGGACTCTATTTGAAGAAAATCATTTCCATCAACGTGTGCAGAGCCTCTGTATGAGTGTGCAGCACAGCTGAGCCTGTCATCCCTGGGAACACAGACTGGGATTGCCTGGCGGCTCTCTGGCTATAAGGACTTTGGACATTATCCCCAACTCCCCGTGGAAGAATTATCCTTATGTTTCCCACCAACAATACGGAGCCAAACTGCCTTTGAGGTCCCCAGAGTTATCTGATCACCTAGATGACACTGAGCAGAGCAAGACGACTGGGAGACAGCAGCTCAGCCCTGACATCTGCTCAAGGCCAGCAGCAAAAGTTCCAGGAGTTATATGAGCCACTAGGTCCATCCAATCTACCATCTGTCACTGGCTTACCTTGCCACCTTGGGTCACTGACTTCCCCACTCTGTGCCATCTGTGAAATGTTCATAATAGCACACCAAGTCCTTCTGTCCCTCCTCCCTCTTCTCCTGTTCTCTCTCCCCCTCCCTGCTTTCCTCTCTCCCTTCCTCCTCCCTTTCTCTTCCTTCCTTTCTCTCTCTCTACCTCTCTTCCTCTCCCCCTCTCTCTCCTTCTCTCTCTTTCCTATAGAAGAGAGATGATGTGTTTGTAAAGTGCCTTGAGCTCCTTGGAGATAGAGGGTCTATAAATATAAGCTGTTATCACTGTTACCATGGAAACACACACAGACAACTGTGCTCTGTTTCTGCATTTGCTGAGCATAATTCTGGCCTTCTTGCCCTGCTGGCTGTTAAACAATCAATGGTTTTACAAAGCTCAACAGCCAGGTAATAGGTGGAGCCTCAAGGCTGAACTTGTTTGCTATTCAACTCTTCTTCATGTGAATTTTCAAAAACTGTGTTTCTGTTTGCCAAGGTAGA